GGGCAGCCTGCAGCCGTGGGTGTCCCTGCAGTCGTGGTACGTGGACTGCGAATTGTTCTGCCTGAAGGACAGGCAAGCTCCGACTTGACCACACCGGGCACGTTAGCTCAGAGGGGGGCCAACAGCAGCAGCAGCAGGTGCAGAACCGGCTGCTATCTGAGGAGGGAGAGGAGCAGCACGGCAAAGCTGATGCACAGGGACGTATTCAGAGATTCACGCGCCAGCAACAGGTAGTCGACCAGGCGCCTGCCCTTGCTGCGGGGTCACATGAACTCCGTGGACTAGCAGAGAAACATAAGTCCTCTGCGTATGGACCTGCAGCAGCAGCAGGAGCGGTAGCAGCAGCAGCAGCAGGAGCAGTAGCAGCAGCAGCAGTAGCAGCAGCAGGAGTAGCAGCAGCAGCAGGGTCGAATAACCCGGCGGCCGTGAGTGGCACAGTTAGAATAGCGAGAGACGCTGTTTCGTCGTCTTTCAGGAAGCAAGTGCGAGTGGGGAAGGAGGTTCGTCTAGCCCTGCAGCACGGGGCAGAAGAAAAAGTTAAATGTTATAAAGCCTTAGTATTTTCACAGTCTCCTGTCACGCCCCAGCAGCTTGAGGACTTGCGAACCAAATACTTCCCCTCTTGCGGCAGGGGAGCCCGCGAACGAGGGGATCCCAGTCAAAATGATGCCGGCGGGACGCGCCCTCGTAGTACTGCTCGCGCTAGAAAGTCTACGGTTTGCGTAGCAGGTACGGGCGCCTAGGGTGGAACTTTCTATCTATCTAGCTATCAATCGTTCTCTCTATCGGGATGCTTTGCGAAACAGTGGCGCCGCGGCTGAGCTCGGGACGCTGAAGAGGCCCACACTCTGTGGAAGTCGTACGGTTTGCGTAGCAGCTACGGGGCCTGAGATAGAATTCTCTATGTGTCTAGCTATCTATCGATCTATCTATCAGAGTCTGCGTAGCAGGTACGAGGGCGAAGGGTGAACTCTATATCTATCTAGCTACCTACTGTTCTATCTATCGGAATGCTTCACGAAACAGTGAGCTATGTACTGGTTCTATCTAGCGGCATGCCCTACGAAACAGTGGCGCCGCTGCTGAGCGAGGGACGCTCAAGAGTCCCTCATTCTGTTGGCGGAGGCGGACGGGAGGCTAAACGGCTAAGACGTCTCTACTTATTAGACGCGGTGCACATGCTGTAGGTGAGAATGACGCACCGCTGCATACATACTCAGGCCGCCGCACTACTTGATTCAGTTGGAGAGGTGAAGAAATGGTCGCTTTGCTTGGCGACAGCGCATTCGTGTAGAAGTGTGGACATGCAACTGTACGTGTATCTAGAGCGATAAAGCGATTTGCCAGCAGGTGTCCACCCTAAGAGGAAACGAGAAGAAACGGTTGCAAACAAAGTAGCCTTCGGTAAGACCCAGCGACAAAGAAGGTTTGAATTCCAGAAGCGACCCTGTGTAAGATGGGGGGGAGACACGAGTCTCGGACGAAAGACGACTGTTGCGGCCGCGCTCTCGGAGGCGGAAGCGTAGGGACCGGCAGTCAGGAGAGACGCTGGTGCGTGCTGCGTCGCCCTGAAGACATTGAGGCCGTTCTCGCGGGAGAAAAAAAGATAGGAAATATCTTAAAGGCCATGTATACGTATATATATATATATATATATGTAAGTATGTGCATGGGGGTATATATATATATATATATGTATAGGACGTAGATCTACATATTGAGCGGATGTGGCTCGTCACGCGACTACACGTGTGTACACGAGGACAGCTTCGGAAGTCCTGATAACTAGCTTACTGGGTAAAACGAGAGGCGCACACGCTGCAGCAGCTGAGCTGTTGTCGAGCTTAGAGGGCCGCCGACCACGGGGACAGGTGGCGGAGAGAAGGCAGGTGGGCTGCGTGTGGAAGTGCTGCTGTCTCAGTAAACAACTGCGGCTTTCAGAGGATGCCGGGGAAGCTAAATCTCTTGCTTGGAAAGGAGTTATCACTATGCTGCTGTTGCAGGGCTCCGTGCCGCCGCTGCTGGCGTAGGCGCTGCTGACCCCCACGGTCGCGCTGCGGCTGGCGGAGCAGCGGAAACAGGACATAACGAGGTGGCACGTGAATGTTACGCAATGCCTGCAGATCAAGAGAAATTTCCGGAGAAAAACGATCCAGTGAGCGAAGAACAGGTGATCTCGTGTGAAGATGAAGGTGCAGCAGGAGGCGAGACCCCCCGTCAGACCACCAGCACAGGGTCATGCACAGTCCGACGAGCGAGACAAGGAGGCAGCAGGAAAGCGAATCAGGAAAGGAGTTGCTGGAACAGCTGCGGAAGAACTACGGACAGCTGCGGAAGAATTCCGGGGAGCTGCGGAGACCGGGGAGAGACTCTTACTGTTTCAGAAGACTCCTTTGCGCGTGCTGCATCGTCGCTCACTTGCAGAGAGGTGAGCTAGCAGAGCCAGAGCCACGAGCTTGCACTACAGAAAGGAAACGTCCTGCAGCGGGACGCCGACGGGGGAATAAGACACATGTGTGGCCACATACGTATCTCTATTGGGTGCTAGATGTATATACGAGTATTGCTGGCCTCCATTTTCTTTCTCTCTCTTTCTCTCTCTGGGCCTGGTGCTGCCGCTGTACATGTGTCTATGTATATAAATATGTACGTCTGTGCATACACGTGTGTACATGCATAATTATATAAACACTTGTACATGGACGGAGACAGTGTGAATCTGATTCGGGGACGCGTCTGGAATAAGGAGTAACTTTTCGCCGCAGGCGGCTACACAGCAGAAGCAAGATCTCAGTCTGCGTTTTTAGATGCGCTTCTCTTTTTCCATCAACCTGCGCCTGTGTGCGTACATGCGTACATCTGTTTATTATGGATGTTCCCGTCACTTTGCTGTTTTGCCCGTAAGCAGCGTTCCCGCAGATCAGTAGGCCATGCCCGCGGTGTTTACTGCAGCGGCCACTGCACATGTGGAGGCTTTCCCTTACACGGATATATGTGTATATATATATATAGATGTATACCCATATGTGTACAAATTATGTATATATGCGTATATGTATGTGTAGCTATTTGTACATGTATATATATAATACATATATGTGTATGTATATATATAGATATATAACACATATATATGTATGTATATATATATATATATACTATATATATATATATATGCGTAGTGCGCCCCCTTCGAGCCTATCATAACTGTGATGCGGCGTTTTGTTGAGTTATTGTCTTTCAGCTCTGCTTCTCCCTTTCGAAGCTCTACCGCTTCCTTGTTCCTTCGATCTGCTTCTGCATTCGCGTTCACGTTTCTTGGCCCTGCCGTTTGCACAAATTGCCTGTTTCTATTCTCTTTCTCTGTTGTAGTCTTCCGTGTGTCGCTGCCCTCGGGTCTACTCGCGGCTTCCGCGTGCTTCGTCGTTTCTGTATTATCCCGCCTTCCACTGAACGTCGTGTTGTCTTCACCTCTGCTGCCTTTGTCTCCAGCGCGTCTCCCGCCATTGCCCCTCCACTTCTGCTTATTTTCTTTCCACCGTTGCCGCAGACCTCCCGCGTGAAGGGCCCCTTTTTTTTCGTCCTTGCTCAACACCTTTGCGTGCTAGTCTGTGTCCGAGTGGTACTCCCAGGGCGACCGCGCAACTATCTGTCTATATGCGGTTAATCTTTTCTAGTCCGCTGGCTGCCCCTCCCTTCCCGATATGTGCTCGCCCTCTTCCCAGCGTGTAGCCTTCTCGCTGTCTGCTCCTGCGACTTACTGCTACGTGTTGCTTTAATTGATTAGGCAGCGCGCGATATACGGCATGGACTTCACCTTCCTGCACCCGCATCTATTCATCTGCAGGGTGGAGACTCAGGCAGGTTAGGAACGCGTACACAGGTGCGCCCGGTACTGCTCTATAAGGAAGCACATCTCAAAACAATACGCGTATTCTGCTGCACAATCGCAGATGTGTTTGCCTCGGCGGTTGCATACTTACTTATACTATCTAAGAGGACTTGCACACAGCTGCCTCAACTCGTTGAAGCTGCAGGGAGAGAGCCATGCACGCGTCTAGGTATACAGGCGATATATGGGCAGCGGCGTGCGTACGTGGACTTTGATCATGCACCTGCGTACGAATAACGGCCATTCATGAATTTGTTGGTGGCATGCACGGGGCAGTGTGGCAACTAGCGTATGACTGGCCTACAGCGCGAATACTGACGGGCATGTCGATCCACATATAGATATGTATATATATATATATATATATATATATATATTTGGCCGGTTGCGAGGGCAATGCGCGACAGGCAGAAGTGTATTCTTTGCCCCCGTAGCGCCAACGGCATATAGCTACGCGTACTAGCGAGGAGCATCGGACAAATGCTGGAGTGCGTGGAGCACCCCCAGACGAGGTCCCAGACATTCTCACCTACATTTGAGGACGTGACAAGCCTGCGCTCTGTAAGTCGTGCGCAGATGCGACAGCGTGGAGAGTTTAGGCGGACGTCCGGTGTTTCAGCATCGTACAAATGCTGGAATGTGCGGACCGCCGCAGACAAGTTCAGGCGGTCTCATGTGCATGAAGGGCGTGACAAGCCTGCGGCCTGTAAGTCACACGCAGATACGACAGCGTAGGGAGATTAGGCCGACGTCCGGCACAAATCAGTGAGATGTCTCTCGCTACAGTTGGAACTTGCACGGAGCACGCGGAGCACTTCTGTCGGCCGTAGTCAATGAGACGTGCTGCAAAAACTGAGAACACTACCATGCCACGATTTGCAGTGAGTAGAAACTTGCTTCTCTGCACTCCCGGATAAGCGTGGCGGTATGTAATGGCGCACGTCTACCGGGCGTAATTGGTGGACGTGCTGCGCTACCAGGCCAGGATCTGCAGCAAGGAGAACCCTGCTTTCTGCAGGCTCGGATTATCTTGCCGGTATGTACTCAGATATCAGTTGGGTAGCCGGTAGGCTGTAGAGCTGTACGGTTACAGGTATAAATACGGCTAAAAGACGACTCGATACAAAGGTACGTAGGCAGCACGTGGACGGAGAACCGTCATGTGACACATTGGGGGACCTGCGCACCGCACGGGTGAGGAACAGACCGCCGGAATATGTGCAGGAAATACGCAGATGATTGGTAAGAGACTAGGGCATCAAAACAGATGACCAGAGATTCCGACGTGCAAGCACGTAGCAGGGACAACGTAGCTGAGCAGTTAGTTGGCCTGCTGCGACCCGTAAGTGCCCCGTGGGAACTGCGCGTACGGTGATAACGTGATTCTATATCGCCGCCGCAGCAGTACCCTGCGCACGCGTGTGAGCGGCTCTCTGTGCGTAGGTGTAAGCTTGGACCGTAGCGCCCGCCTGCCGCAAAGCAGGGAAGGCGCTCGTTGCGCAGCCTCCCGCAAGCACTTGCTTTGGCTAAGCTACCCCGTACAATGTTTGGTGGCGTGCGTCAATATGTATATGTATACATATTCATACACATATTCATACACATATTCATCGCAGCTACAGACCTCATCGCAGTACAGTGAATACTACAGCACGGCCGCTAGTACGAGTACTGCTGCTGAGAGTGCTTCATGCTTAGGTCACAGGGTATGCCTCCTTACTTTCAGGCACGTACATCAAGGAGTTCGTACACGGTGACTACGGACGCACCAAGCCCTCGCTTTCTTCGCTGCTGCACTCGCGCTGCCGCGTGTTGCTCCTCGACGTTGTAGACCTTATCGTAGCCGGCGTGCCGCTTGACAGCAGCTGCGCTCGTCTGCGGAGAGGCGATGGAGAAGGTGGGCACACATCCGGTGAGGACAAGGGCGTCGCCGTCCGCAGCAACAGCGACCGCATCACCGACAAGATCGCCGTTTCAGCAGAGGTAGGAAGCGGCGGTAATGATCAGTACTGATAGTCAATCAGTAGTCAGGTCGCTAGTGGCGACAGCTGCGCAACGCCAAACGCGAAAGCGGCCCCTCTGGAAGCACGGTTGGAAGTAGCAGGCCGGCGGGATTAGGACTACCGCGTTTCGACGCAGATATTACCTCGTGGACTGCTGTTGTTGACATCAGGCGCAGGCTCCGCCATGAGCGTGGCGCTGGGGACCGGGCTCCCTGGCGTTTTCTGCGTGGCGCACGAAGCCCCTCTCGGCTGAATATCATATACTGTCATTTTCGTGGCTGCCACATGTGGAACGAGCTCAAATAGCGCGGGCATATTCGACCCCCGCGTCCCGTTCTCCAGGCAATCCTTGGCAATACCGTGTCAAGGATTCTACCCCACTACTGCGGACGTCCTCTTACCGCACTCTGCCTATACTGTTGCACGCTGTTGGAGTGACGGTGCTCCCCGTCATCGCACCTCATGAAAAGCACGCGCGTGCCGCAGAAGTCTCTCTTCTTGACAATCTTGGTGAATTACTGCGGGCATCCTCCTGACGTGCTCTACCTACACTGCCCACTGCCGTTGACGCTCGGTATTGCTTTGCGATGCGTTCCCTCGTCTGAGCTGCTGGAAGGGAAGCCCGTGTTGTACCGGACCCGCTTCCAGCGCACCGCTCGAGAGATGTCCTCGAGGTTGTCACCCTCTTTAGACCATCTCGCTTTTGTTGTAATGCGTCGGCGCAGGCGTGCAGAGGCTTGACGAGCTGGCGTATGCCTCGACCGCCACCGATGCTTGCATCGTAAAGTCTGAGTTTCCTACTGCTGCTGGTCAGACTGATGCACCCCTGCGGTAGCCGATGCAGCTGAGCGCGTCGTTTGTACCCGCCAGAACGTCTCGCGTGCCCGAAATCACTTCTGAGTACAGCGGCGTCGACACGAGGACGTTTCACGGCGGGGCTCGTGGCGTGCCACGGAGTACCGGCAGGCGGCGATGCCGTTCAGGTATATGCTTTGCCGGAGACCGTACCACCACGAGAGAGAGAGATAATATATTCTGACACCTGTGCAGACCCTTACCCGGACGATCGGAAACGCACCACAGAGGTAAGTGCTGCTTTTGCCTCGAGAAGAGACGGCGTGCGTTCGGTCGCGTACTTAGTCCCGGCGGTAGTAGAAGGCCGTCAGACTACGCTAACCTAAAAGTAGGGCGGCGTCCGCGGCTGTCACCAACCCCGGCACGACTCAGAGCTTATGCAGCAGAGGCACCGGCATCCCACATGCAGCTGCGGCCGTGTGTAACACAGAGCAGATTTGTCTCCGACAGCTCTCTCCGCGGCTGCTGCCTGCTGCAGCAGCTGCCGACCAGCGAAATCAGCGAAAAGTACATGGCAACATCTGGAACGGACGCGGCCCGTCGGCTAAGGGTGAAGTGTCCGAAGGTTTTTGCAAACGTACGTGCAGTCAATGCGAAGCCCCGCAGCGTAGGGTGGGGCACAGCGTGGAGAGTGCAAGGGTGCAGCTGCGCTTGCGCCCGAGCTGCCGGACCGCGATTAGTTTATTTACTTCCATATGGCAGAGACAGCTTTTGCCGGCTAAGGGCAAGCCTTGTGCGCGCCTACACACATTCCACCCGCTCGCGTGAACGCGCACGTGCCTATAAGCGTCTAGAAGACCGGCGGACGCGCCTCGTCGTCATGAGCAGTAGACGTCGCAAACGTTTTTTTCCAACTACGCAATCCCGGAAAATCTGATGCGCCTTCTACGCTTATGAACTTCTGTAAACGGAAAAAGCGCGGTGCGAAGGTGTTTTTTTGCATCGTCGCACGGGCACTACGTTCCCGCTGTGCAGTAGTAAGTTCACGGACTCGGTGGTTACCGCTCATCAATCAGGATGTGTATGTACTCGTACACGCATCCCACAAGCATGTGTGAGTAGCACAGGTACGTGGGCGCGAAACGCTTACGTTTGCAGAACGCAATCCATATACCTCACCTAAAAGCCCAGCAGCCCAGATACTAGCGTCTGAGGCGCCGCGTGCTAACCGATACGCTCCTATGTGCAAGTCAAGCATATTATAGCGCTCTGTACCCATGTTCGTAGACGTTAAGCATTCCTAGTAGTAGAATCGTCCGCGGCGCTGCAAACAGGGACTGTTTTGTGAGAAGGGGCAGCGCCCACGCTATATACGCTGCCAGTGCAGCAGTGGTGCTGCGCTGACGTACGCGACGCAGCGTCCACGATTCTGCGGGCAGTGCCAAATGTCTTGATGTCACACTCGTGCGAAAGAGGCGCCGCAACATTGAAGCCCTTGCCGTACTCGATAATCGCCAGCTAGAAGCGGCCCTGCCCTCGGCCTAAGCTAGTCATTCTCAACGATAGCACGCTACGCGTAGGGGACGATGAGTGAGGACACTCCTCCACACTAAAGCTGTAACGCTGCCGGTTTGCGCTCGTCCTGTGACAGCGTGTCGCACACAGCTGCTCCAGGAACCGCGAATATATCACACCTGCTCACAGATACGCGGCCGGGTGCTCGAAAATGTACCTGTCAAAAATGTGCCGGCCACTCTGAGCGTGTACGCGCTTTCTCGCGTGCGCCTGTGTGTTGCATACTCGTGGGGTACAGCGATGCGTGTGTACATGTGCACACGTACTCATCTTCGGGCGTGTCGTGTGTGCCTGCGCACACACGCGCTGCACACGCAGAAATCTGTCGTGGCATTGACGTGCAGCCGCAGATGAAGGTAGTGGGACGGCTGAACTCCACGGGAGATGTCGTCCTACCCCACCCACGCTGGTGTGCAGCCGCAGGTGGAATGGTTTATAGCTGAATCCCACCGCGGGTGTTGCACGATCGGAGTCGCCCATGGTTTTAGTTAGTGCGCTGCAGCTCCGTCTGGTTCTCTCGGAGGGGCTTGCCCGCAACCCTGTGGGACCACGTCTCCATATGCCTCTACGAGAGTCGGCGTTCTGTGTGGAATCCCAGTTCATAGAGGCTGAGCTGCCAGTTAAGGTACAGACAGTGCATCGCATCCGTGTACGCTGAAATGCTGTTTCACGCCGTAGCACTACGTCAACTGTAGAGCGAATATATCTGTTGCGTGCCTGTAGCAGCGGTGGCTCTGCCGCGGCACGACCAGCTTTCCAAACAAGAATATTCCGCAGCACGTGGGTTTCAACCTCTCTTGTGTACGCAGAATAGTGTGCACAATGCCACCCAGCCAGATGGAAGCTGCGGGCCGCGCAGAACAAGAAGTACACGCCTTACACTTCGTCCCTGTTAGATACGTCCTCTGAGGCCCTTTCTGGCGACCGGCAGTGGTTCACTTGTAAATAATCAGGCGCGCACGTGCCTGTGCGTCGCTTAGACATATATGTGTAGGGATGCGCTATACAAGCGTATATATATCTCGATGCACATATGTATATTTGCTCAGGGTGGTACAGCTTGTCGACACGTATGTTTGCTCGTTGTAAGGGTGCCTCGGAACTGCTGCTTACCGATGGACAGTGGGACGATTTGCGGGAAACACGTAGCAGTATATATCACGGCACAACTGGATATGACTTTTACGTTTTGTCGCTCACACGAAGACGGACCCACCCATCGGTGTGTCTCATTGTTTCCCTGCACTGGAGTACCTGTGCACCTGCGGGAAGAGTACTGCGCCTCATGTAATGCACTTCGTTTTCTGGAGATAGCAGATACCCGTCTACACGTATCTAGAATAGGCACACAGACATCCGAAATCATATACATAAGTGGTGTACGGCGGCGGAGCCGTGAAGCACACACACGCGTACGCGCGCATGTTCGTTTATCGTGGGTTCCGGGGGCGGTGTGCGTGAGCCGCAGCGCCAAAAGGGCACCCTGCGCCTCGACTAGTGACTACAATAATATTGTACATTGCGATCTCGGATCAGAATAGAACTGGCAAAGCCGTCCTAGTACTCCTTTCGCTCGACTTCTTGCCCCCTTCCAATGCAGGTGGAAGGTCGAGCCATACGTTTGCACCTTGACTAATGTTCGTGCCTATTTATACGTGAGGACGCATGCGTTTACGTGTTGGCTCCCGGCTTGACCTCGCCGCCTCATCTTGAAGATGCTTCTGCAGTCGTTACCGCTTTCACAGGCGGGGTTCTATTCCTTCGTAAGAAATAGCGACACGGATAGGCGGGCTAGCGGCTACTCTGGAATGCATCTGGTGTCTTCTGCGCGCGTTCTGGAACGCACATGCGGGGCAGCTGACCCAAAGCAACGAGGATCGATAACAGGTTCGACGTTTTGAACACCGGCACAAGTGTCTGAGCGTTTTCAGGCGTGGACGCGGCCTAATAACAGCAGGGCAGATGCTCCAGGCAGGTCTTTTTAGCCTCCTCCAGCCAGTCCCTCTATCGCAATAGGCGACATATATGCAGTGAGTGAGACCCGTGGCGCCCACGAGCTCCGCCTGGCCGTAGGTGCTAGCGCACGGAGGCTGGGCAACCTCACACACGAGTATGTTCTCCCTTACCCACAGCGCATAACTGATCGCGCACCAGACACAAGACGGCGTTCGTGCGCAGTACGGTGTGCAAGAGGGGCGTGTCGTTGCTCTATTTCCTTAGGTGTGAACGCGAAACAACTCTCGAGGGTGGGCGGGGACGCTGCACTGAAACACTCCTCCAGAAACCTACAAAAAGGACGCGTCTACCACTGCTCCGCAGTCTCCGCGTGTTCGAACATTTGGACGTCGGCGCCTGACGATGGCTCAGGGAGCAACGTAAACAAGCACGAGAGGGGCACGAAAAAACAGATAGCGCGCGTCCACCGACATTACCGTTACCACAGTTTTGCTAACGTGTTACAAATGCCATAATGTTGTGGGCAGCTCAAGTAGTGATCTGCAGCTTCTCAAGCAGCGCACTGCGTCCCAGTAGACACGAGATTAGTGCCTGGTACGCAGTGTCCTACACCGCAATCGAAGTAGTTCGCGTAGAACGCGGTTTTCATACAATTTACCCGCTTCAGACCCAGCAGCACGGAGAAAAACTGAGTACGGCAGGGTACGGAGAAATCGAAAGAATGCGCAGACGCAGCCCAGCTCCACATCCCTTTGAAAATCATAGCCCTGGCAAGCGCCGCGAAACAATGCGTGGAGATGAGCGGCATTCCGCGCATCTAGCCGCGTGCACACCGCGTTGCACCTTCATCTAGCGCATCCAACCAGGGATCCTGCGAGACGTAGGCCGCTCAACGCCGCGGTGACGACACATCTGACACCGTCACCGTAGGCCACCAACCCCCACCTGCTGCACGACGACCTCAGGAAGACGTGCGCAGAGAGGCGTTCAGGACGAGTTGCTCCTGCCTCTGTGACTCTTGGTGTGCAGGGGGACCGGGTACAGGGGGGATGGGTGGGGGGGCGTATAGCCAGATGATGTGACGACATACGCGAGATCCTCACACCCCTGATGGTCACCTATATGGAGAGACATGTGCTCCTTGGTGACACTGTGAATGATTCAGCACCTTCGAGCCTGTGCGGCCACCGTCCGCTTCGCTGGCGAAAACCAGAAACAAGACAATGGCGCTATGATCGGAGAACTCAGCAGGGTAATGGCCGCACTCACGGAGTGTAACACGTTTCAAGCCACCGTCCTAGGGGAAAAATATGTGTGAACGACGTACAATGCGTCCCAGCAGTCTCTTAGGCTTTCAAGAAAAAGCGAGTTGGCCGGCGACAGAACCGTAAGTGCGGCAAGCAAACACGAAGAGCGGTATAGATATTCTGCGTACTTCAGAGTCCATAATGCAAACACCTTGTTGCGGTCTGCATGAGGAGACGCGCTTACGAGCTGACGGGCGGAAGCCATTTCGCGAAGCCTCCGTCGCACGAAGAATGTGCGCTCACACACCCGTCTCCACACATTGAGATGGCATTGACGTTGTTATTGTTGAATCTTAACGCAAACCAGAAAAGCACATACGAGGGCCGGCGCGAGGAGATAGCAAAAAGCAGCAGTACCGAGCCAGGCTTTAAGGGGCTCCTCCGGATACTTTAAGATTGGATATGCGTAGCCCACTCGCCCGTACAGCGTTTCCAAAGGACAAAGGCAATGGCGCAACAAAGAATAACGTAACAAGTTTCCGAAGAGTAACAGTACCCACAAGTGACACAGCCGGTAAGGAACGCGGCTGATAAAGCCATGAAAAATACTGGAAAAATGGCAACATGCTGATAGTACCCTAGCCAGTCCTCGTGCTGTATAGTTGGATATAGCGCCGTCCAATACACGAGGCACACGATGAATGAGGCCCCCACAACGAGGCTGGACGTGCACTCTATCACACCCAACACTATACGCTGAAAAGCACTTTCAGGTCTGTTCTCCGCTTCGTGGTCGACTGGCGGGGTCGCATGAAGGCGAAGGCACTGCAGAGGCGAGGGACACGAAGTAGGCACTGACCAAGATTGTGTTCCAAGTTGTAAGATAGAATAGCGTGCGGATATCCCTTGAAACCGCGCGATGCGTCACGTACACCTGAGCGGCGGCGAAAAAAGTCTTATACCAAGGAGTACAACCGCAGGGATCCACCTGGACGACGAAACAGCGTATACCTGTCTCCAGGCGTACTCCCCAGCGTGAAGTCGCAGGGCTTGACGAGTGACTGTCTCAGCTCAGCTATGAGCTGTTTTTTTACCGGTTGAAGTGGTGTCTCGCGAGCCCGAAACCAAAGACCAGCGCGGCTGTCCACCTCATCGAAGGGCGGTCGCCAGAGGGGATGACACGCGGGTGGCGGTCTTGTCCCCATCTCCTGAACGGTGCTGATGCGCACGAGGAAGCCGACCTGGGCAGAACACAAAAATACATACATGTTCAAAGGGGGAGAAGGTGCATCTCTTCCTTTGCATTACTCAACACCAACAAAGCGCAAATCATCTGCTTTAACGCAGCAGAGCAGTATCGCGTGCATGTTCGGAGCGTACAACTGACACTGGAGAGCAGAACTGCTCAACATTCCTGACCCGTGGACACGCCGGTGCGCAAGCAAAACTCCTCAGCACACTGTATTGGGAGGTGTGCGCAACAGGAACGCGGAACAGCACCACGCCAGCGTGCGATCAGTCAAACTTCCAGACCGTGCCAAGCAGCCTCTACTGTCGACGAATCGAACGAGGTTTACTAGGGCAGAAACGTTTAATAGCACGGCGGCAGGTGAAATGTGAGAGGCAGAGCACAAGGTAGGTCAGACACGAACCCTTGGGGAACAGGATTGTGAATTCAAACACAGGTCAGAACGGTCTTACTAGGGTCGAGCGAGCCCTGCACCTGTGAGGGTGCAGTCACTTTGTAACTAACGTGCCAGGCGTAGAGCCGGGTACGAAAGAAGCTCCAGTGACTGCTGCCATGCAGAGGGTAGCAAGGCTCGGACTCTGGCTAACTGTGTTCGATGCGCCATGGCTGCGTATTGGCTTCCAGCCTGGATGTGAATGTGCGTGATCGCGCTGCACAACAGTAGCGTGACCCCCTTTACCGTGCTATTGTAGGGGTGCTCTCAGAAGATACCTAAAAGTACGTGCACACACGTTGTTAATGCAAACAAAGCCGGACTGCCATCGACGGCGGGCTACGCACGGCCTAGGCACGCAGACACGAAAGTATACCAGCGGGCGACCACCTTTCTGTGCAAGCGCCCTCGGCAGGGGGTTGCTCTCAATTCGCTAGGTGCACAGGCAGGTGACAGCACTGAAAGGACGAAATCCCTCGCGTGCATTGTACCCCGCCGCACGACCGAGCGAAAAGCTTCGCCCAGATCACTCTCTGCCAGGAGGTGGGGATGAATGGGGCACGCACCGGTGCGCAACATTGACGCGTGGTAACGTTCAGAATGGTGCGGTCGTTCCCCCTACCAACGAGAACTTGCTGGCTGCTCGAAGGGTGTGCGAACAGCACACAAAATGCTATACGGTCCAGGTTACTGGAAAAGGTGACGTGTGCCGCCTTGGCTGTATTTAAGCTCCTCCGCCGCGCTCACCACACAGAGGGTCCAAAAATCTGGCGGGGGGCCTCGTGATAAGGTGTGCATAAACACGCCCGTTTTGATGTCCCGTTCATCCGGGGGAAGCCTTCATAAGATGCTTCCTACCAAATCATGTCCTGTGCGCACTCCAGTGTCCCGCCTCATACACTCGTCAAAAGCAAGCGTACGGTTCGAAACAGTAGAACAGAATCATTGGCCTCCAGCAGACGAAGAGCTACTCCGAACCCGCCCCAGGCGTTCAAAAGGACCACAGGGCTGGCAAGTGTGGCGCTTGCAGGCACCGATCCCACGACTTAAGGGAGCATGCGCAGGCCAGGGGTACCCCAGCTAAACAAAAGGGGACGCGCACATCTGTGTGGCTCACCCCTAGCGATCTCGATCCTATGCAGCACCACGAAGTGCTGGTGTGAAGACGAGTAGCGCCTCACGAGAAAGAAATCGACTTGGCCATAGGAAAGTGGCCCGTCATTCGTCTTATTCTATAGCAGAGGCACGGAAGCGGAAGCCAGCCGAATCGATCGGCGGAGCGCGTGCCCACGATAGACTTGGGTCCGCAGGACGACGGGCTTTATCGTTGTGGGATCGTTCGTTAAGCTAGGCGGAAACATACCGTAGCGTGGGCGCGCCTGCCACCATAGGCCTACGCTGACACCTCTCAGAGCGTATATTTCCGTGCGTCCCGGATATGGTCTCAGCTGTGGGCGTCGTCAACAGCGCTGATATAGGCAGAGAGACGGCTAGTCATAAGAAAGTACTCTTCTGCTGGGAGACTCACCCGCTACCAGATAAACTCCAGCCACCCTTGCAGGTCATGCGTACACCGTGGAAGTCCCAACGAAAGAGCCCATGAAGTGGAGCCACACAGTATCACGCCCCCCTGCGTCGCGGCGGAGGTATAAATTTGGCCGCGTTGTACTTCAGCGAGCATTCTGCGGTCTCGGGCATCCTGCGCTGCTTATCTTGCTGTTCTCTGTGACAGGGGGATTGAGACGCAACCCCCGTTTTCGCCGCAGCATCGCCCATATTGTCACTAGTGTCGGCAGCAGGATGGACGGCCCCGTGCGCTGTGCAGTGCGGCCGGACGCCTGCCGTCTGCTCCCGTCCTCATATCCGAAAATGCAGTCTGGCACCCCCCGGCATCTTACTCACCCGCTGCTGAAGCGTTTCACAGAAGTGCAACACTGAGCCGTTTATCGACTCCTAGAAAGAACAGCAGCAGCAGAAAGTAGGATCGCACGACACCCTCCCGCAGGCTGTGTAGGCAATGCGTTGCCAAGGGCGGCTATCCCACATGTTTCCGTGACTTTGTTGGTAAAGTACGCGTACACGTCCAGAGCCGCTCATCAAATATGGGACTCTGCAGTTTGAGCAGTCGAGTAATGCCTGAAGCAGGGAGTACTCGTGCTTGTAATCTTTGCTACGCTGTTACTTTATCAAGTGTCTTCTTGAACAGATCATCCGCTGCGTGCCAGCGACGACATGCGTGTATACAGGGACTGCAATGTGACGCCTTGACAACTCCAACCCACCGTTTACGGTGCATCTGCCACCGTAACACGTGCGTTCAGGTCCACACCCGTGGTGGAGCCCGCGGGGATAATGTCACATATTGTTTTCCACTTGCTTACGAAGGAGTAGCTCCCTCCCTTGCATGCATTCAGAAAACACCATGACTGTACCTCTATAATTGCCGATGGTCGCCCTTACATACCGCCCGCAACGCCTTCGCACGAGGACGGTTTCGCGTCACAGCTGCCTCTACAACTGCTTGTGACTCTGGAAGGTGCATACTTCACTGCATGAGCCGTTATTCATTGCCCGCGTGGGCGTACGTCGTCCTCTCCGCGCATGGAGCCGTACAGATTCACCGATATATAAACATATATTCACCCGTCTCAACGGCCCCACTTACACGGGCGCTTCACGGTTCTCAGATAGTCTATCTCCTTCAAGGTTGCTGCCGCTTATGTTTCGCATCGCTGGGACTCTCTAAGTAGCGCCGCTCCGAGAGGAGCTGGAAGCATGACGCTGTTTACTGGGGTCCACATGGGGATGGTAAAAGCCTGAGATTCACAGGTGGGAGTATCTCACCGGTACGCAATACCCTGGGGAGCGGCAGCTGGACGCTAGGCAGTATGTCGTGCATGTAGGCTGACGGCGGCCCGTCACGAGGACTTCATCTTCCCGCACTACATCGTCTCAGTCGGCGCGCGAGGGGGGCAGCACGCCGCGAATACTTGTAGAGGACGCTGTTTTTCCCGAGACCTTGCTTTATGCACGTGGACCCCTGGTCCCGAGCCGCCTGGGCCGGCGTTTGCATTTTAGTCCCTTGGCTCCCTGGATGCTCACGTGCACTCGTATACGCGACGAACTGTTTTTGGCACAACACACAAGAGAGCATCTGTCGGCTGACGGTGTAGCAGGTAAGGACTTTCCCGGCTTTCGAGGGCGGGTAGGGGTACCCCCTGTGCCGCGCACTCCGAGACCACGCCCCCATTCTCAATCACTTAACTCCTTGTCTGCTTGTATGGACTTGTAGACTTGACAAACGATTGGTGTCACAGATCAGTGCGAAGGAGAGTCCACTCTCAGACACTGCAGCCTGTTACGCTCTGGTACGGTTACACGAACCGTCCCGTTGTAATTCGTTCGCCCCACACGGGTTTTGAAGTGGTCTCCTGCCTGACAGTACTTCGCTGTGCTTGTTTCAAATTATTTGAGGGAGTCGCTTTTGGTTAGTTGCTGTGCTCTTTCGCTTTCTGAAAACAGCTTCTTTCGTCTTACGGGCCGCCCTCATCGCCTCTTGACTGCAGCAGCCGTGAGCAGCTGCGGCGCACGCCACGCCCGCAACGTCCTCGCTGCGATGTGGCTACACTCGGTGGGCGAGGGTAGACCCCCTGTGCGTCTTGCTTGTGCGCGACCGTGCAACGTTACTGAAATAATGCTTTGTTAGGGCGTCCTCCTGTCCGGGGGGATATGAAGAAGCCTACTGCTTGATAGTTGTCTTCAATGCTCGTTCCAAGCGTCCGGCCGAGCCCGCTTGTGTATACAGGTAGTTTCGCCATCAGGACTTCACCAACCCGCTACCGCAGCCGCGGCCACCAGAGCCATCTCGCCGCAGGTGTCTTGCATACATTACACACGTCTCATCAGCTGGTGCTTGTGTGCCATTGAATGGCGAGGCACGCTGCTTTTAGTCATTCCGGCGAGCGCGATTTGGGATTGGTAGCGTGCACGATGCCACAGAATGGCGAGTCAAGGCAATGGAGAACTGGAATGTGATATGCTGTTCACCTTAGAAGCACGGCTGAAAAAACGCGCTCATGCGGAGAGAGGGGATAATGAGCCTAGGCGCGTCCTACAGTGTAGCCATCGTGCCCTTTACTAATGGACAGTCCTCTTCCGGCACAAGGCGCAACCGAGATCAGGCGCTTCGTTTTTCGCCGCAGACGAGACGGCTGCTACGATCCGCTGCCACGCGTTGCTCTTCTCGTGACTTGAAGTGCCCTGGAGGAGAGCAGGCTACATTCCTCGTCGTTACCCGCCAGTATATCCACCATAGTGTCTCCACTCGCTTACTCTACACTCTATACCGGTGCACGCCTCCTGATCCGCCCGTGCCAGCGGCTCTACACCTAATACCCGCCGTCTCCTGAGCTTTCGTTGGGATCGCGTTTCTTATGCGGGAGGAGACCACAAATCTTAGAGCCTTCCGGCGGTACCATCCAGGAATATTGCTGTTACCGCACCCGCCACGAGGGACTGTGCGCGGCTTCCGTGAACTAGCAGCTTTTGCTGCACACGCGTGCGCACGTGTGCTAGTTAGCTGTCCCTTGTTTGTGCTGCATGTCAGTTCACGGCTCAGCGGTGTCACGAGGACGACTGCGCTTGCCTGCAAACCTCCCCCTAGCGACCACTTCTGCGCTCAGCTCCGGCGAGCGAGGATCGCGCAAACCCAGAAACAGAGAAAAGGAAATACCCCCGGCGAGAACGTGAAGCAGGGGTGGCTGCGCAGCTGCAAACGTACTGGCACGTCGGGCTCAGCATGTCGTGTATGCGTAATACGTCTGCCCCTATTGGGGTTTCTCCCCTCAACGGCTGTCGTAGGCGGAGGAGCTTGTAGTCTGTGAAGATCTGGCAACCCGCGAGCAAGCGTAATTATGTATTAATGCTCGACTAGAACACATGAGTCAAAAACACAAGCTGCACCCGTGGCTCGATCTGAGAGGATCAGCTGATTTCAAATCCTGTCAAGAAATGGCGGTGCATAAGGTGGGAGGAGATTAACCCGCAAGAGAGACCGGCGGTAAGCAACGAGGAGGGTGCGTAACGGATCAACGGACGAACGAGTAAGGCGTACAGGGCGGCCTGAGCAGCGACTCCGTTCTACGCATACTGTTCGAGTACCTTGAGAGTTCATTTTCAGGTCTATTTCGTTGCGGAACCGCAGGTCAGGACAGCTCCAGCCGTTGCATCACACAGTCTTACAGCGGCGCAACGTGTGTAGCCTCGGCAGAACGCAGCTCCGGCTCAAAATAATCTCGTCTGAGCAAGCATCAACACCAGAGGAACATGCCCGTCGGTGGGGGGCCACTTTCCCGCCCCCGCCTTTGCGTGCCTTCTCCACGCTGACTTATTTATTGCAAAGGTCTTTGTGAGGAGAGGCTACGCGTCCCCGGTTACTCTGCACCCGCATGTAGTAGTCGAAACGTGAGCCTCATCGTGCACGGGCGCACGCAAGCCGCGTAGATCGCTGCAGTCCAGCCGCGTACATAAGGGACGGCGCAGCACCGGAGGAGTACAGCCAGGCAGGCTTCAAGCGTGCTAGCTTTTTGTTCTCAGTGACAGCAGCGGGCGGGCCCTTTAAATCGACATCACGGGCGGCGGCTCTGCCTGGCCGGCCAGTCTCACAGAGGCGTGCCGCACGGTGCTCTGGTATGTGTATTCCCTTTCTCAGCATGTATTTCGTGACACGCCTATGTGGAACCCGTGTACGCTCACATGCGCACGCATAGCGACCCGTGCACATAAGCAGGTGTCCCTTGCAGCTTAGACTCGACTTGCCGCCTACGCACTGCTCAGCATACGTGTGTACGTCTGACGCATCACGGTGAGGAGGCCAGGCTGCTAGCTACTCGAGATGAGGACGTAAAATCCCGCACCTAAGAACCCAGATACGCAACTTACCTTGGCCGACACTTGTAAAGTGTAGGACCACGCTCAGCAAGGGTCCCGCTGCAGCAAAGTAGTGGCTGAAGCCTGGGCATACGCGGGAGGCAAATCTCTCGTGTATCGACGACGGATTGGACGGGCGGTACTCACGGGTGTCCGTCGCCTTTGAGGCGTAGCCTGTGGAGTAGCCTTCATGACGCTGGTTAGCTGTTTCATTCAGAGGCGAGTGTACTGACGAGGCCTCACAGAGGCACGCATGACAGGCGGAGATGGCCTGTGCGTCGAGCTGAGTCCTCATGTGTCTGTGATAAAATGTACATAGATCATATAATCATTCAGCGCACGAAGGTGCGCAGCATCCAGCAGTTGCGCTATGCGTAGTTCTACCAGTATCTTCGTCTTCCCTTGTTTCTCTGAGTATTGCTTCTAATTATAGCATCTTACTATCTGTAAAAGTGGCTTTTCGGCAGCGAAACAGAACAGATAGGTTGACGTCCTCAGCAGGTCATCTGCTCTAAGGACTGCTTTACCAAGCGTCGATAAGAGGCTGCTGCACGCTGGTAAGCATACGCATCGCGCCATGTGTCGCCTGAATTGGGCAGAAAGCATGCGGCCTTGTGGTGGAGCAGCAGTCGCTCGCAGGCCGCACAGGACGTACGTGCACGTCTTCTTGATGTCTGATTCGTTTCTGTGGCTTTGCTGTGCAACAGAGACGCCTAGGAGACAGCGCGAGACCTGGGCGTGACCGAGGGCATAGCATAATAACGTTGGAGGCGAGAGATAGCTAGTGTTTCTTTACATACGTATGTCTGTGTCTAGGTGAGAGAAGCATAGTAGTGGCCACCACTTGTACAATGATGCACACGTTTACATATATATTCAAGTCAAGAAGTTGCTTGGCAAGTGCAACTGACGTGGGGTACGCGCGCCCGCACCGCCACAAAGGGTTTTCGAAGCTCGTACGCATGGCTCGTCTGCGCCCGTCTCTGTACGGCCTTTTTACCCGGGGACCTACTAGGAGGGGACGTCCACGGAGGGCTGCATGTGCGTCTCGGCACGCACATACGGATGTGCGCATGCAGAATCATGCCTGACAGATCACAATATCAAGTACGTTGCACGGATGCAGGGGCGCGCGCACATTTTCGCGTACCGGTGACTCATTGCGCTTTCAATCCGACTGACTGTCCCTGCGCAGGGGCGGTAGCTCTACAGGGCTGCCGGCTGAAGAGGTTTATGGAGAGCTACATGTGCGTCGCGCGCACATACCCGTATTCGCACGCACGTATGAAGCTCGCGGGTCAAACATATCCAGTACAATCCAAGCAGCTTCGCGCGCGCGGACACAGCCTCGCGTACATGTGATTCGTCAGGCTTTCAGTTCGACTGTCTGTCTCTCTCTGTCTCAGCATATTCAGACATATATACGTTCATATATATATATATACATATATATATATATATATACATGTATGTTATATGTATATTAAAGATATACATATATATATATAGCGATTTGCGCACGTCGGCCTCTCCCCCCGGGACAGGCACGCGAGTACATGCCTACACTTCACCTCTGCACATAATTTGTGGTTTTGCATGCGGCTGCGTCACTATCTCACGTGCCCACCCTGTACACAAAGAGCACGTAAGCAGACGTGGGATGCGGCTAAAGTAGAAACTGCTTATCGTTGTGTGCGCATCTGCCGCACCAGCGTAAGTGAGAGGGGTTCCTAACGACTGGAATCATCGACGTACACGCTTGCTTTATAGTTCCTGCATCATATCCATGAAGGCGCGCAGCTGCTGCTTCCGCTGCTGCCTCCGCTGCACACGCAGGTGCTCTTCCAGGCGGGTGAAGAGCTCCCCACATACTCGCTGGGAGCTCTGCAGACAATGCATCCATACGCATTCGCGCGAGGGCTCCATATTCTCAGCCAGACACATGCGCATATACGTATATATATACACACATATATACATATATGCGTGTAAATGGGTATGCATATACGTATTTATATACGGATACAGGCTCTTAGATATACATATGTAGATAGCTATTTACGAGACAACATGGACACAGCTTGTCGATGAAACAGAAATAGGGATCTACGCCAGGCTGGTCGCGGCACGCGCATATACATACGTCGCCGTACGATTCTGCTTGACAGCAGTGCAGTCGGCAGTACTCCAGCCCATCCCCAAATTCCAGCATGCAAAAGCATACATCGTTAAAGACATATGTACACTTGCAACGTCATATATATGTATATATATATATATATATCTATATATATATATATATATATATATATATATATATATATATATATACTTACACGCGAGCACGACGCGGCAGCCCGCTGTACCACAACTAAGAGTTGTAGCAGTGTGACTGGTGATCTTCACCCCCCATCCTCCAAAACTGCAGCTGTATACAGCGTCCTATATATGTATATACATATAAATATACATATATGTATATATATACATCTGTATAGGTATACTAAAGACGAGCACGGCCTCTGCACGTGCGTCGATGCACGACTACCATTTGCAGCAGTGCGGCTGGTAATTTTCTGGTAAGCCCCTATCCTCCTATACACTTGTACCAGAGTACGTAGAACACAGGTACGGCGCAGATATAAAGCTACCTTCATATGTATATGTACGTGAGGACGCAAATAGTCTGATACTGCGTGATGTCCACGATCAAACTCAGCAGCGCTTGCACGTGTACGCATGTCGATACACTGTGTATTACGAACACCGCCGAAGACACTCAAAGCACGTACCGGGAAGTCCCTGCTGCACAGTAGAAGCTACGGCTGCTGCTCCGCTCGCATACGAGGAGTGGAGAGACTGCAACCACCTGGCCCGCTTCTGCAAAATCCTGGGTACGTACATATCCGTATATACTCCATTGCGTGTATCTAGCAGTGCACTGATCCCTTTTTGGATGTACATGGTGCCTACCAAGTATATGATATATATATATATACGTGTATGTGTGTGTGCATACAGAGAGGAGGCGCGTATATATATATATTATATATATATATATATATACATTATACATATATACTATATATATATATATATATATATATATACACGTATATATGCGCCCAGCCGACAAGACTTGCGCGCATACTGTACGCTTGTACTGACTCTCGCACCCTCTAAACAGACGTGTACAGCATACGCCGGTGTATACGAGACCCGCGATGTGCATGAATATGTGTGAAATAGTGCAAGTGGGATGTACACAGTGCGCAGTCATCTGCAATCGCAGTACATCCGCTGCTCAGACTTACCTCACGCGCGTAGACGACTATGCCATCTACGTTGCTGTGATACCCAGAACACGTGTCATATTCGCATAGTAATATGTATGTACATATGCACATTTATGTACATGTGTATGTTTGTATATACACAAATACACATCTATATGCATATATATATATATATACACATGTATATATATGGACACAGATCGGTGTAGGAAGATAAGCGAAACGATTTTTGTCTCGATGGTCTGCGTATTGTTAGGTGATACAGCAGCACTAGAGCTCCTGTGAAGAACGAGAAATATTTGTGTAGAATGAGACGGCCGCTCTAGGTACGAATCAGAACAGTAGGTAATTCTCTCTCAGCCGCTACAGCTACTAACCAGTACAGATGACGGTTGTCTGTAAGCCGCTATAACCACAAATATATGTATGCGTATGCATACGCACAATGATAGATGTATAAATATATATGTATATATATATGTATGTATACGGACACGTACCACAACTAGGGAAGAGAAAGTCGCGGGATCGACAAGTGAATTGCCAGTGCCTGCAGGCCAACACTTTTGAAGCCCGCCGGACTAACAGCGACTGCCAGGCGGCTGCTGCAGGCCGCTTCTTCGCTGCTGCGCATATCCCATACATAGTGCCGGCCTATCTGTATACACCACAAGGAAAGAGGATAAATGGCCGGAGCAAACAGCACCGGGGGGGGAAGGGAAACGTGGTAGTATGAAGAAAGGGAAAAGAAGAGGAAATACGCCGCAGGGACGTCGTACATGCTCATATATATATAATATATATATATATATGTATAGATATATATAAACATATGTGTAGGGTACATATATATATATATATATAGATGGATAGATAGACAGATACATTTATTGACAAGTGTAGTCAAGTAGAGCAGCACGTGCGGGAATACGCACCAAACCAAGCTGTGGGGGTACATGAGGTGCTGCCTTTACAGAGGAGGGAGGCTACGTATAGTAGCGGGTAACACGTCTGTGTAGAATTATATACGCACCCAGATTCTGCTCTCCTTTGTAGATGCGGACTGGGACATGCGTGCCCTTACATGCACGTAATCCTACAGGTCATCTGCTGGAAACGCGTAGGGACGTTTCCACGTATGAGTGTATGCATATACATATATATGTACGCACAGTTATATGCCTCGGTACCTACGCATATGCCCATATATATATATATTATATATATATATATATATATATATATATATATATATATATATGTCCCTCGGAGGGATGTGCCTGTAAAACAAGTGTTAGCTTCTGCGTGTCGGCTTTGGTCCTTGGCAAACCACTGTGTAGACGCAGGAGCGTCCTGCGCCTACACATAAGGTAAACACGTATATATATGCATACATATATATATATATATATATATATATATATATACACAGCAAACATACTGTACGCGGACGCACATAATCATATATATGTGTGAGCAGACGTGTGTACGTGACCATGCTTACAACTGGATGTAGCTGGGTACGAGCTCATTCTACACACTCACGTCAGTGCAGGCACATACGTGGAGAAGGGCTATGCGACCACCTGCAGCACCTGCCTATCATGCGGAATATACGCATATACGTATGTGCACGCACGTATATATGTACATATATATACATATATATATATATATATGATATATATATACATATATATATATATATATATATATAATATTATATATATATATGTGTATATATGCACATCGTACATATGTGGACAGGCGTAAACGTAGATACACGCCTGTATGTAGTGCACACATGTGCGCCTATATATAGCCATATATATTTATCATGTTTACATTTATACGTATGTATACACATAGAGATGTATATGTATACATATAAGCATACGAACGTACAAAGATGCGACGCATCCCACGGCACTGCAGTGAGTGACACAAGCATCTCCAGTATTATTTGTTATGGATATCTCCCTGTACAGTCGCGGAAACGCAATGTATATATACACATATGATACATATGCATTGGTATATACATGCACTCGTATCTTGGTTTGTATACAAGTGAGGGCACCTACGGCAGACATGCGAGGCATGCCACTGCGTGGCAATCAGCAGTATACGCGTCCTCTAACGTTACTCGTTGTGTATACAATTATATAATATATATATACAACATATATGTATACGTAGATACATACACATAACGTATATGCATTTGCAGATATTTACACACATACAGACGTCGTTTGATATGTATACATATGAACAGCTTTACAGTCATACATGCGACGCATGCCACTGCGTAACAGGAGAGATACACGCGTGTCTAAGGCTACTGCTTATACGGTGGCGTAAGCGCCGCCGCGGTGCCATGTAAGGCGCAGGCAAATATGAAGCGAAGAGAACGAGAAAATCTACCTATATAGTACATGCCTGCTATAGTCTATCAGAGGTGCGTACACGTGAATGAGTATTGATCTTCATAGAGGAAGGAAGTTTCTTGCTAGAGATAGAGCCGCCAATATAAAGACGCCACGAGAGGCAACTGGTCGGCTACCAGCAGCCGGAGAGAACTCGGTTATGTCTTATCCCTTCGTGATAAAGAAGCAGAACTACGCGCTGTTGAAATACAATTTCAATCCAGGGTACATACCTACGCGCCTGTATCTATCTATCTATATAGATAGATATATATTCAGCTGAGTACATACAAAGGGACGCGGTCGCCTCCTGCCGTAGGTAGACTCCCCACGAAGTACAAGTAGCCAGATAAGGCGCACACAGCCAAGAGAGCAGGAAAATCTACTTGTACAGTGCATGCCTGCTAGACACTATCAGGGGCGCGTACATCACATGTACGCGCTATAAAGACGCCAGGAGAGGCAGCTGCTGGGCTGAAGTATTCATGTGAGAGGATACAGACGGACGGGGTCGCCTCCTGCCCTAGGTGGACTCCCTCACGAAGTGCAAGTACCCAGATAAGGCGCAGGCAGCCAAGAGAGCAGGAAAATCTACCCGTCTAGTACATGTCTGTTATATATCAGGGGTTCGTATATCACATGTACGCGCTATCAAAACGCCAGGAGAGGCAACTGCTCGGCTTAAGTATTCAGATGAGTAGATACAAAGGGACGCGGTCGCCCCCCTGCCGTAGGTGGACTCCCTCACGATGTGCATGTACCCAGATAAGGCGCAGGCAGCCACGAGAGCAGGAAAATCTACCCGTATAGTACATGTCTTCTATATATCAGGGGCGCGTAGATCACAAGTACGCGCTATAAAGACGCCAGGAGAGGCAACTGCTCGGCTAAATTATTCACCTGAGTAGATAGAAAAAGACGCAGTCGCCTCCTGCCGTAGGTAGACTCCCCCACGAAGTACAAGTAGCCAGATAAGACGCAGGCAGCCAAGAGAGCAGAAAAAATCTACCTGTATAGTCCACATCTGCTAGACACTATCAGGGGCGCGTACATGTGATGTTCGTCTCGATGGAGGGACACGCGTAGTATCGAAGGGACGCTACATGAAGCACCCGCATACAAACACCCGTACTGGGGGGCAAGCACTACCACTGCGATGAAGAATCCCAGCCCAACCTCTCTCTCTTCCAAGTACGAGCGTTACAGTGTACTCTGAATACATTTATTACATATATATATATACATATGTGTGTGTGTGTATATACGTGCACGTATGTATGCGCATGTATATACGTGTACATACACATATACATACATATATGTATACGTACATAAATACGTGCATATGTATAGCTATGTATATATATATATATATATATGTACGTCCTTACACGCACACCTGTGGATATACGCAAGATGAACATATATGTGTATTTGCGTATATATATATATTATATATATATATATATACCTCCACACGTACACTTCAGCGAATAAGCACAGGCACTGCTGTGATGTTTGGGCCGTAGTGAGTGGATTATCGATAGATGTGGTGTACATGGCATACCCAGTACATGTATATACTTGAGGGGCCTACATAGGGGTTTCTATACCCTGTAGGACGGAGTCTTACCTGCCCGACTGTGACGACGAGAGGAACGTTTTCCGCGGGAAAGGGCTTGCCCTCTGTTTCGCTGCAAACAGAAAGAGGAGGAAGGCGAATCAGTTACATATGTACAGGTAGCACACATCATTCTCATATAAATTCTCTAATGTGTAAATCTCCATACACAAACTGATACACATATATATAGGGCTTTCTCTCTGCTTCGCTGCGAACAGAAGAAAGAAGAAGGCGAATGCGTTACATATGTACAGGTAACACACATCATTCTCATATAAATTCTCTAATGTGTAAACCTCCATACACAAACTGATACACATATATATATAGGGCTTTCTCTTCGGTTCGCTGCGAACAGAAAGAGGAAGAAGGCGAATGCGTTACATATGTACAGGTAGCACACATACGCACGCATCATTCTCATATGAGTTCTCTAATGCATGAATCTCTATACACAAACTGATATACATATATATATATATATAGGCTTTATTCTGTTTCGCTGCGGATAGGAAGAGGAAGAAGGTGAATGGATTATATGTGTACAGGTAGCACACGTACGCACACATCATACTTATATGAATTCTTTAGTAAATAAATCCCTATACTCAGACGGATACACATATATATATATATATACATATATATGTATCAGTTTCCCTCTGCTTCGCTGCGAACAGACAGAGGAAGAGGCTGAATGGACTATATATGTACAGGTAGCACCCGTACGCACACATCATTCCCATATGAATCATTTGATGTATGAATCTCTATACACAAACTGATACAGACATATATGCGTAGGGCTCCCCTTCTGTTACGCTGCGAATAGAAAGAGAAAGAAGTTGAATGGTGGACCAAGAAGAAGACGCAGACGGAAAGCAACTTCTGGGAAAAACTAGACATCTGCTTCGCTGCGAAGGGAAAGAGAAAGGGAGACGTGTCATAAAGAAAGAGTATGAACGAACAACGACAAGAGCGAGACGAGAAGAAGCTGATAGCAACTACTGGACATCTGCTTTGCTGCGAACAGAGAGATGAAGAAGGAGGTGCGGTCGAAGAAGAGGAAGTAAGAAACAGGAAAGCCGAGGGAAACGGGAGGGAGCTCAGAGAGACATGAAGAAGGAGGCCTCGTGGAAGAATAAGAAAGAAGAAACAACGAGGAGAGGGAGACAGGAAGAAACCGCCACAAAAAGGCTAACATTTTCAGTGTAGAGAAAGAAAGAATTAAAACGGATACGAGGTATTGTACTTGCGCTTAGCTGTGAACAGAGAGAGGAAGCTGGAGCAGCCGTCAAAGAAGATGAAAGAAGGAATACAGAAAGCAGGAAGACGGAAAGAAAAGAAAAACATATAGGAGGAACTGAGCAGCCCCTCTATAAGAAGATGAAAGAAAGAATACAGAGAGCAGGAAGACGGAAAGAAAAGAAAAAGAAATAGGAGGAGCGGAGCGTCCCTTTTATAAGGGAAGGGAAAAAGTTAGAGACCGGCGAGGTAGAAGAACCGGGAAGACACTGATGGGAGGAGTTAAACATGTCCACCACGAAGAAAGGAAATGGTTCAAACTGCTAGGAAAAGAAAAACATATCCTGTACAGAGAAAGAATGTGAATAAAACCGACAGGAAGGAGTGAACCGCTCCGTTAGAGAGAACAGATATGATTATTTCTGATAGAAGAGTGAAACATCTCCATGATAGCGAAAGAGAAAGAATACGATACCGCTTGGAGAAACTGGTAGGAAGAATTGAACGTCCCCATCACAGAGAAAGAAAGAGAATAAAAGGCGGACGAGATAAAGCAAAAAAGGGTGAGACTCTCAGGAATTATATATGGCATATCCGTGTATGTATACGCATAAGAACAAATGTAAACCTAGAATCATATATTTGTGTATATGGACGTACATATGTGTATACAAATGTATCTACATATATATATATATATATGTATAGGTAGTATATATACCTATATAGATGTACCTCTTCACATCCGTGCACAAGTACAAGCAAGACTGCGCCCGGAGATACACATACAAAAGCGAAGATGTAGGAACGTGCCGCGCAAAAGCCTAGTAGCCCTCCACACTCGTTCAGTTGATACGCTGTACCATATATATATATATATATATATATATATATATATATATATATATATATTATATATGTATACATATATATTTATGTACACTTGTGTCCGCACGACCTCTCTATGTTGTACGCATATATATATATATATATATATGTGCATATAAACATATATTTATGCATGTACGTACGCAAGAGTAAGGCAGAAAAGGCATTAGTAGATCCAGACATATTCCGTCATCTCTTCTCTCTCTGTCTGTGTCGCATCTTTTCGTAGCTCCTTCCTTTCTTTCTTTTCTTCTCCTCTTACCGCTCATCGCATGCAATATGCAACACTGTTGAGTATGTCTTTCCATCGCCTGAATACTCCTCCTGCTCCTCCTCCTCCTCGTCCTCCTCCCGCTCGCCTCCATCCACTTCCACGAATACATTCGGGAGCCTACACGCCAGCACGTCATGCTAACGGGCTAAGCAGGTTCCCAAAAGCCTCTAGGCACGCGTGCTATCCTATTCACATAGATGCGAATACAATCTATACCCATGTTTATGCAAGCATATACACATATATGTTTATATATATATATATATATATATATATATATATGGACGTATACGTATGTGTATGTGTAGTGTTATGAAGACGTACTTACGTAGGGGAGCCTGCACGCCAGCACGTCATACGAACTGGCTAAGAACGTTCTTGAGAGCCTCTATGCATCCGTGCCATCTTATTCACATAGGCGCAAATACATCCATACCCATGTTTATGCACGCATATACACATACATATATATATATATATATAGATATGGATGTATACGCATGTATATGTGTAGAGGTTTGGAGACGTACTTATGTAGGGGAGCCTACACGCCAGCACGTCATACTAACTGGCTAAGCACGTTCTCGAGAGCCTCTATGCATCCGTGCCATCTTATTCACATAGGCGCAAATACATCCATACCCATGTTTATGCACGCATATACACATACATATATATATATATATATAGATATGGATGTATACGCATGTATATGTGTAGAGGTTTGGAGACGTACTTATGTAGGAGAGCTACACGCCAGCATGTCATACTAACTGGCTAAGCACGTTCTCGAGAGCCTCTGTGCATCCGTGCTATCTTATTCACATAGATGCAAAATTCATCTATACCCAGGTTTATATACGCATATATATACAGATGTATACGTATGTATATGTGTAGATGTATGGAGACGTACTTATGGAGGGGAGCCTACACGCCAGCACGTCATACCAACTGGCTACGGCGCGTTTTCAAGAGCCTCTACGCACTCGTACTATCTTGTACACATAGGGGCAAATACACCTATACACATGTCTGTATACATATATATATATATATATATATATATATATATATATATATATGCGTCTATATACACATATATATGTATATAGAAATATACGTATATATATGTGTACCTTTATGGAGACCTACTTACGTAGAGGAGCTTACACGCGCCACTTCATACTACCTGGCTAAGCATGTTTTCGAAAGTCTTCAAGCAGTCGTACTCTCTTACACACCTAGATACAAATACGTTTATGTATATGTCTATATACATATGTATATATATATATATATATATATATATATATATATGCATACGTATATGTGTAGATTCATGAAGACATGCTCATGTCGAGGAGCCCACATGCCAACACGTCAAGCCAACAGGCTAAGCACGTTGTCGAAAGCCTCCAAGCAATCATGCTACCCTATACACATAGGTGCAAATACATCTATGTACATGCTTATATACATATATACATATATATATATGTGTATATACGTATATACGTATATGTGTAGGTTCATGGACAGACGTACGTATGTAAAGCCGCACCGTATGTAGATGCACAGATACTCTGCACTGCATAAACGGAATCCAAGACGGTCCAGTCTCCATCTTTATGCTTTACTACACAGATATTTGCAAATACATACATTCGTACGTCCGCTGTTCACGTATGCATGTACACATATACATATATACCTAAATATTAGATATGTAATCAGAAATACACACATGTATACATATACATATATCTGTATATATATATATGCATCTCTATGTATGCATATGACCTTTACAGATGAATATATGGACCACTCTGTGCGCGTACGTCGGCGCAGAAAACATGAAGTATGGTAGGGCCAGCACTCCTGTGCGCATGCGTGTCAAAAGGAAAAGCAAGCGGAAGGACAACAGAAGACGCGGCTGCTCAGGCAAAGTTGGCAGCAACCATGTGCGTGCATACACAGTCGATGTCTACGCCTACAGGCGTACATATTCTTTCTGTTCGAATATTATCCAGTATCATCAAAGATCACGTATAGTACGTACACACGAGTACGCGACGACCTCGTCCGCCCATGTACCTCCTGCATATGTTCATAGCGTGGGCTACAGGCCTACATATTCTTGCTGCGCTGGTCTTCGAGGCTATCAGCGACGACGCATGAACATCGAACTACAGATATACCTGCTGCGGAAGCCTGGGCTTGTGGCATCGGTATATCTTGTGATGTTTATGTCATATGTGGGTTGGTGGCCCTTCATGCCAATGATTAGTACCACAGTACAAAAGTTGTAATATAATAAGACGCCATTTCCAGCCACGAATGTATCTCTCCTGAATGTATATGGGTTTGACTTCAGCGTTGCTCCTATTTTCTACGTGTAGCGCTGGTATATCTTGCACACTAATGAATACTTGTCTCTCTCTTTTTCTCTCTCCCTTTCTGTATGTCTCTCCATATCTCTCTCTCCGTATCTCTTCGCTATCTGCCTCTTTCTCTATCTCACCCGCTGCTCCCTCTCTCTCTATACAATATATATATATATATATGTGTGTGCACGTCGGTACAGTAACTAGAATATATAGGCCTGTACGCCGGCGCCAGATATTACACTACACAATACAATCAGACGTACTTCCAGTCACAGATACATCCGTCCCGAATGTGTGTGGACTCGACTCACGTGTACCACTACGTCGTCTAAGATTATTCCAGTGCTGTATGTCAGTATTAGTTATTACAGTAGCTAATACACGCGAAACTTAGACCTAGTCGACCAACGATGCCTTTGTATTGGATTCTTGTCACTTCTGTTCACCGATACCTCTACCTTAGATGTACGTTAGTCGTTTGCCTGCCAGTCTGCGTCTTCGTATATATCTTAGCAGCACCGTACACGTTATCGTGCGGAGACATATAACAAGTAACACGCATGTATACAGGAGTAGCCATACTCATGCAGGTGTGTACGTAAACACCTTCCATATATGCGCGGCTGTTATGTTTCAGCTAATATTGTATACTACATCAATTCCTGAACGCATGAGCACTGTTACCCCCGCTACCCCCCAACAGCCAAGTGATAGATGTACATACGCATGGATCATTCATACTATACACGTAAGCCTTGATATCTCGCCTCCACTGGAAGACAAGAGGACAGAAGTACACAGACATAGTACACTGATGCTAGCAGCAAAGGCGTTCAGATGTCGCTCGAGCTAGTAGGCCAGAGACAGCGGTATATAAACGTATCACATCCATACTAGCCATATAAAAGAACCGATATCTCGCTACTACTACAAGACAAGTAGTACACATGCGTAGTAATCCATCCTATTTAAAAGGGACGTTGGCAGGTGGCCTTCCTAGAAAGTCACCGAATAGGCGTATACAAAGGTAATACATTCATACTAGCCACATAAGCACCGATGGCGTTGCCGCTATAAGGCAAGCAGACAGAAGTATACATGCATACCACACCCGTACTAGCCACAAAAACATCGATATCTCGCTCCTACTAGAAGGCAAGTGAACAGCTGAGTACAAACGTGGTATTTTTCTGCTAGCCACATAAGCACTGGTATCTCGCCGCTCCCATGAAGCGAACAGACAGAGGTATGTACATGCTTAGCATAAACATATCAGCCACTTTACCACTGGTCCCGCCCTTCCCAGAAGGCAAAGAAATAGAAGTATATACACGTAGCACATACATGCTAGCCGCATGAGCACTGACACCTCGCTACCGCTGCGAGGCAGGCAGACAGAAATATATAGGTACCGCACGTTCATGCGAGTTACGTAAGTACTGAGATTGCGCCCTCATAAAAGCAAGCAGATGGAAGTATAAAAAGGTGGTACATTCATGCTAGCCACATAAGCACTGATGTCTCGTTACCGCTACAGGGCAAGAGACAGAAGTATACATATGCATACTACAGTCATACTAGCCACATATCTCGCTACCACTACAAGGCGAGCAGACAGAAGTATATATGCGTATAAAAGATACTAGCCACCCAAGCGGGGGTATATCCCTACAACTATTAGGGAGGTAATCTGCAAGAAATCTATAGTCAGCGAGCAAGCGACGCTAAAGGCTACATGGCCCACAAACCTCCGAAATCGAAAGACACAGATACATATTCGGAATTGCACATACATAGACTGATACATATCTATCTGGACGTGTACCTACGCATGACGAGGGTGCTAGAATACACGCATGTGCCTGTGTTCACGTAGGCATGGATTATGAACGTACACGCTGCGCAGGGCTACTCGTAAGACGATAGGCATACGATGGCAAACACCCTGCATTTATATGCTCCTCCATGTCCATAAAGATATAGGTGTATATAGATATAGTTAGTTCATATATGTACACACGGCTATATATATATGAATACGTATATCTCTCAATATCTATATCTCTATGTAGATATACGCACGTGTATATATATATATATAATATATATATATATATATATATATATATATTGCTTTTTGGCTTTTCTGTCTGTTTGCTTGAGAACTCACATCAGCGTGCGCAGTGCCGCGACAATGGAAAGACTCAAAGCGTCGAGAAGACTTCCTCCGGCCATCAGCACCTGAAAAATGGAAGAAGAGAAGAGTAGCGGAGAGGAATATACACGTCTGACCGGTACGGGGAGAGCGACAGCGGCGTTAAGACTATGACGATAAAAATAGACATATGCGTATATGTGTACGTATGTACATATATGTATATATATATATACATACATATAAATACTTTTGCTGTTGTCCTGGTAGCAATAACAGCACTCGAATAGCAGCAAGACGTGTAGAACGAAAAAGTAACGAAGAGCAAGACATACGTTGGAAGGGAGTGACGGGGAGACAGAGCGGCGTCAGTACCGTACAAATCCATATTTGTATATTCATATACGTAGATACGTATATTTGAATATATATTTATATGTACATATATATATATATATATATATATATATTATGTACGTATGTATGTGTATGTGTATATGTGTACTCATACCTACATGAATACGTACACACCGAAGATCGCATACGACAATAGGATGAAGGTACAGAAGAAAACGCAATGGCACGCAAGTTACAGAGAAATCCACGAAGTCGTTGTCGGCTGCAGGAAGTGCTGCCTGCAGACCTAGGCAGCTTCCACGAACACTACTCGTAGTAGCGGCACCGGTGTAGTAGTAGTACTAGTACTAGTAGTAGTTGTAGCAGTAGTAGTCGCAGTCATAGTACTTATCGTAACAGCAGCAGCAAACGTAGGCAGCTTCAACGAATACTACTCGTAGTAGTGCCACCGATGTAGTAGTAGCAGTAGTAGTGGCAGTTATAGTCCTTGTAGTAACAGTAGCGGCAATCGTAGGCAGCTTCCACGAACACTACACGTAGTAGTGGCACCGATATAGTAGTAGTAGTCGCGGTTATAGTACTTGTCGTAACAGTAGCAGCAAACGTAGGCAGCTTCCACGAACACTACTCGTAGTAG